CAATTCACTCACCTCCGCCTCCCAAAGTGCGGGATTACAGGCTGAGCCACCAAGCCCGGCCATAACCTTCCATCTTAAAGCAGTTCTTCCTCTGGGTATCTACGCTGACGAAACAGTATTACATTACTCCATGCCAGACTTGCCCTAAGTAACCTGATGCATGCAGACAGATTTTAATAAAATGAAGACATGTTTCTCCTCCAAAGATTTGATTTTAAATTGAGTTATTACCAAAGTCATAATTTTGAGACTGTAAAATTAGATGACTTCATTAAAAATAAAAGAATGCTGAGGATGCTCTGAAACCAAGTGACCAGGCTAAAGAAGTCCTGGGAATAAAACCCAATCTGTGATGACTACACATACCCAGGGGTCATTGCTAAGGCAGCCCCAGCTTGGGCACCTCAACGTGTCTGGAAAAAATGGTAGTGAGCTTAAAGGGAAGCATTTACTGGGCAGTTTCCACCATGTGTCCTGGATTACTGGAACATGATATAGTCAGGCTCCAGTGTCACCACGGTTGTTTACAATACCCTAAGCAATTTGAAACTCTGCGATTTCAACAATGGTATCGACTGACTAAAAAGTTTTGAGTAATGTAATCACAGTGATTTATCACTTCACACAAATGTGACTCTAGCTCACAAACAGGTTGCCAGTGACATCTACGTCACACATAACTGAAATGATAAATGTACGATGTTAGTAATGCTCTGTATTAAAAATTACAAAGCAGGTTTTTGCCTTGAAATAAACTTGACATCCACCACCGTATTTAATCCTAAACCACTTAGTTTTTAATCGACAACCACTGCTATTTTGCCTGCTCCTGGTGCTTGGTAAGCCTTGCTCACTGGTCTTACTTCTGTGTCTGCACCAGCCTCTCTTTTCTCCTTGCCTGTTTTATGTGACCTTTGATGTATCTTTGAGGCTAATATTTCTATGCTTTCCTTCCACATTGGTTCCTCCGCCTCTAGGTTACGTTCATCATCTGACTGTTTACTGTCCCGATCTACTCCTTGATCTACATGTTCTCACCTTGACCACTTCTGTCTTACTGAAATCCATATTTCACTTCTATTATTAGCTTTCTTTTATGCTACCCTAATACAACTGCTCTGTACTTTTTTAAACATTAACTACTTTGGCTTAGTTCTCTATGAAAACAAAAAAATTCTCCCTCTTTAAGAGTTAACAATAACACTGGTCTCATTCACATCTCTGCTTTTGAGCTCTTAGGAAGATACTTTGCCGGGTACAATGGTTCAAGCCTGTAATCTCAGCACTTTGGGAGGCCAAGGTGAGAGGATTGCCTGAGTTCAGGGGCTTGAGACCAGCCTGGGCAACTTGGCGAGACCTCGTCTCTACAACAAATCAAAAAATTAGCTGGGTGTGGTGGCGCATGTCTGTGGTTCCAGCTACTTGGGAGGCTGAGGCGGAAGGATCACCTGAGCCCAGCAGGCTGAGGCTGCAGTGGCTGTGAGCATGCTGCTGCACTCAAAACAGCCTGGACGACAGAGTGAGACTCCAACTCAAAAGACAAAAACAGAAACAAAAAAAAGATGCTTTATTATACCCAAACTTTTCACTTGCTGCAGCTCCCACTTTCTGAGTACCTGCTTGCTGCTGCTTCTTTCCCCTCTCTTTACTCTGGGCTTTGGCTCTTAAATTATCCGATCACAGGCTGTTCTTCAACTTTTCCACTTAAAAATTCTGATTTTTAAGGAATTTTCCTAAATTTTATTTCCTTTTTCTCATATTTTCTCATTTATTTATTCACTGTATCCCTGAAGGAATTGAAATTAAGTATAATTACTAATCTTTTTTAATCAACTAAAAAATTAGGGAAAATACACAAAAGTGAACAATTAAAAAAATAAATGTGAATTCTGCTTCTTATCTAGATTAAGTCTTATAATCCCATGAACTTGCATGAAACTCAGTTTTCTCTATGCATTCCACACACAACAAGAAGTATCCATCTCAGTCCACAGAGTCACAAAGTGATATTAGGAGAGAAAAGACAGGAGTATCTGTGCAACGCATGCACACATAAGGAAATTACACACTGTTTAAGAGTTTTCCTTCATAAAAGTAAACTCTAGGCCAGGCTCGCTGGCTCAGCCTGTAATCCCAGCACTTTGAAAGGCCGAGGAGAATGGATTCCCTGATCCCAGGGGTTTGAGACCAGCCTGGGTAACCTGGCAAGACCTCATCTCTACAATAAATCAAAAAATTATCCGGGTGGGGTGGCACATGCCTGTAGTTCCAGCTACTTGGAAGGTTGAGATGGAAGGATGGCCTGAGCCTGGCAGATGTAGGCTGCAGTGGCTATAGTGTGCCACTACACTCCAGCATGGGCAGCACAGTGAGACTCTGACTCAAAAAAAAGGTAATTATATGTATGTGTGGCACAGAAGTGGATTGTCCCAAGTTAATGATTTATTACTGGCTTTATATAGGTAAAAACCAAAACTTCAGAACCCTGGCTTCATTTTCCAAAGTGAATCTTGGGCTATAAAACTGAACATTCTGGCCAGGCCCAGTGGCTCATGCCTATAATTCCCAGCACTTTGGGAGGCCAAGGTGGGAGGCCAGGAGTTTGAGACCAGTCTGGGCAACATGGTGAGACCTTATCTTTACAAAAAAATAAACAGATTGGCAAGGCATGGTGGTACACACCTGTAGTCCTAGCCACTTGGGAGGCTGAGGCAGGTGGATCACTGAAGACCAGGAGTCTGAGGCTACAGTGAACTATGATCATGTCACTGTACTCCAGCCAAAGTACAACAGAACAACAGAGCAAGACCCCAGCTCAAAAACAAAAATTTTAAAAAACTGAACAACTCATAGGGATAATTGAAGCAGAAAGCTAATACAGTCTTGGGTTTGAGGTTAATCATCCTAACAGACTCTGCTTGAATGGTAAAGACAGGCAAAGGAAGACCCTGTATCAAACCGTTGTAGTGGAGAGTACCACACAAGGGAGATGAAAATAGACACTAGAGAAAAAGGAAAAATGTAAAATAAAACTAGAAAAGGCCTTAAGGAACCAAGGATGGCATATGTCAAGATCTGGGAGATATAATAAACTCATCTCTCTGTATCTGAGGGCAAAACAAAGTCAAACAATGGGAACTCCAGAGACCCAACATATTATATCTTCCCCTAAATCCCAGGGAAAACAACTCGCTATCAAAATATTTCAGATACACTATTATCAGTCTCTGGGATCAAAACAAAACAGGAAAGACTTAAGCAGAGTACACAAAAACTTTAAGTTGGAGAAAGTTACAGTGACATGAGAGAAGAAATACCTGTGTAACAGTTTTCTACCATGCTCTCTTGTTACTGGACACTTACATGTACATAATAAGTAATCAAATCAGTGATAACCAAGAGACATCTTTCAGTGAGCTGTGGCCTCAGTTATTCCCCAAGTCTCTTTTCTCCAAAAAAAGGAAATTATATAATTTTATACAGTCAACATTCTAGAATAAAAAGAAATACTGTAACCTCTCTTCCTAGCCAAAGTTTAATATTCCATTTGTTCTTCAGTAAAACTACCCTTTGAAATGGTTCTTTCCAGTCTGTAATCCTAGCACTTTGGGAGGCCGAGGTGGGAGGACTGCCTGAGCCCAGGAGTTCGAAACCAGCCTGAGCAACTTGGTGAGACCACATCTCTACAATGAATCACAAAAACTAGCCGGGCGTGGTGGCATGTGTCTGTAGTTCCAGTTACTTGAAAGGCTGAGGCAGAAGGATTGCCTGAGCCCAGCAGGTCGAGGCTGTGGTGGCCATGAGCATTGCCACAGCACTCCAGTTCGGGCAACAAGAGTGAGACTCCAATTCAAAAAAATAAAATAAAATAAAATAAAATAGTTCTTTCCACTAGCCATTCAACATGGAGGTGAAAGCTTTAAATCTTAAAAGTAAGTATGAGTTCACACTAATGGGCTAAAAGAAATCAGAGTATGCTTATTATGAATGAGAGGCAGGGCTCAATATTCCAATGACATTTTATTCTCACTACAAAAGATACCTGCATTTTCTTACCAGTAACAAGTTATACAGGAAGAGTTAGAAGTCAAAAAGGGAACACATAGGAGTCATACCCAAAGATTACCTTGAACTGATGCAAATTGTATTAGCTTCTAAACAATTTCACACTGAACTGAGTTTGATACATCATGTTTTAAATACCTGTTCTTCTTAAGACTGCAGGTGTCAACACCAGCATAGATGATTGACATTTGCCCACAAAGACTAGTAAGATATAAAATGCCACACAGCTTAGTGTAGGAGGTTGAAACCTATTCTATGAAAAGTGATCATTATTTTTAAAGTAAGAACATAATGCTTTTAATCACCAAATACATACATAGTTGTTGTTTTTTTTAAATTAATTTTTCGAGTCAGAGTCTCACTCTGTCACCCAGGCTGGAGTGCAGTGGCACACTCACAGCCACTGCAGTCTCAATCCACTGGGCTCAAGCAATCCTTCTGCCTCAGTCTTCCAAGCAGTTGGAACTAAAGGCACACGCCACCACACCAGGCTAATTTTTTGACTTATTGTAGAGATGAGGTCTCACCAAGTTGTCCAGGCTGGTCTCAAACCTGTAGGCTCAGGCAAGCCTCTCACCTCAGCCTCCCAAAGTGCTGGGATTATAGTCATGAACCACCGCGCCCGACCTACTTAGTTGTTTTCTAAGACATCTTGATTTTCCAGGCGTATTTGGTTACATCTGGAGAAGCAACTATGAAACAAGCAGAGCCCTGAAATGTCGGCCCCACTAAATGCCTGATTTTCTACTAGAATTTATTTATTTAGAGACAAGGTCTCGCTCTGTCACCCAGGCTGGAGTGCAGTGATGCAATCATAGCTCACTGTAACCTCAAACTCCTAGCCTCAATTGATCCTCGCGCTTTGGCCTCCCAAGGTGCTGGGATGACAGCTTGAGCCACTGGACCCAGCCTCTGATTTCCTTTTCTTTCCTCACCTGATAATGAGCCTGGGCTTGCTGTGCCGAGTTCAAGGTGACATTGCAGAGTTTGCAGTACAGGGGCTTACATAGCTCCTCCAGGGCAGAGTCTTGCTCCCCCGCCTTGGGTAACTCTTCTTCCCCTGCCAGAGGCAAGGAAGCCTCCTGCCCAAAAGGCTTCTGTGGCGGGAGCTGCAAGGTTCCTGTAGACCTGGTGGCCACTGACATAGGAGGAGAGGGTGAGAGCTGCTTAGGTGGAGGAAGCCCGGTGTGCTGCAAGAGGATCATTGGGTAGGAAAGTCGTTGACATAATCCAGTGGGTGATGAGAAGCCAGGTCTTCAAATCTAAGTCAATAGAAAAAATAAAAACTCACTTAAAAATGAGACCCCAGCAACACAACATGTAAACGACAACGCCATCTGACCCTTTCCCTTCACCTCTCCAAAGCCATCTTCGGGGATGTCTTTTCTTTTGCCTCATCTAGGCGGCTTCCCTGACTGTTAATTCACATTGACACTATGCTCTGCCCTGAGAATGGCTTTACAGATTTGGCTTTATTTTGCTTGGCACAGCCCCAACTGCTATCCCTCTGGCCCATGAACATTAATAGCATTGCATCCATGGTTAATTAAATCTAAAAGTCACATGGTAGAAATGGACATCAAAGGTCACCTAATCCAGACCCCTTCCTGCAGGCACACTTACACTTAAACACTCTTGACGATAATCATGGATAGACAAAATCACCACCAGCTAGGGATCTTAGCAAATGTCTCTTTTCCATCCAAACAATACTTAAAAGAATAAAAAATAAAATAAAATGCTTCTTAAAAGGAGTATCATCCCAGAATCCTTAAAGCCCTTCTAGAACTAGTTAAAATTTCAAGGAACTCTAGGAATAACCCAGTGTTAAAGTGTGACAGGAAAAAAAAGTGTTCCTCTGATCAACTAGCAGTATTTAAGTAGTTAAACCAACAACTCCATATAGTGAAGATGGCCAAAAGACAGCCCGTGAGCCACATACAGCCACAGATTTGCTGTTTAGAATATACAGTTATGTTTTGCTTTCATTTTTCAAATTGAATTCATTGTCAACATTGAGAAGCCAAGAGATCTGTGGCTTCTCTTGATAAAAGGATGACCCAGCAACACCTGGCCCACATTTCTACATGGAAACAAAGAGCTGGTCAGTGCAGAGGTACTGTCCCCACAGCCAGGCCTACCTTCTCCAGGCCACCTCATTCCCCACTCAGCTGCTGCTTCCCTGCTCCCTACAGACGTGTGAGCTCATGGCTTCACCTCATATAGCCTTAGACTATATCCATGAGTCAGACCCCTGTAAAATCAAAATATCTTCTCTCTTTCTAGAGGTAAATAAGATATCAAGTAAATGTCCAACTGAGTAATGGAACACACTACCATAAACCCCAACAGAGCTTCAGTTCCTCAGTCTTCAGGCTAGTTATTTCCCTCTCCTTATTAAAAAACGGATACTCTCTATTCTGTTTTCCTCAGAAAATACCCCAAATGTTCCACTCCCTCCTCAATCTTTATCCATGATTTCCCCTGCCTCTCACCCAGATAGCATCTTCTAACCCTAAGGATCTCAAAATGAACCACAGTACACCCTTTGAGTTCCCAAGATTCTAATTAACCCAAATTAGAATCCTTATTTCAAAATCTACAATTCCCTCCACTCTCTCAACACAGTACTATTAAAACTTCTTCTCTTGGTCAATAGAATATAGCTATTTTAAGCTGCTGAAATTTTCCATCTGCAATGGAAATGTGTACGTTATGGCAATAATAGGTTTACTAAAATTAATCAAGTAAATCTTGAAAAGTTAAAAGTCTATCTTACCACATTTGACAACTACACATCACCAGATAATCAAGTAACAAGTTTTATACTAAATCCAGAGTCCAGGAGCAGCAAAGGAGACCCAGTGCAACAGGGAAATAATGTAGTTAAGGGCAAGTATATAAATTATGAGTTATAGTATTTAACAACACTTTTTATTAATCATAATTATTTTTTTAAATGATAATATTATTTGATTCTTAAACAGAAGCATATTGCTCATATCTCTGAGAACATAAGAAAAAGCAGCTTTGGGATATTTAAAAAGTCAGGTTCTCTATAATGGCATTATTTCTCTTAATTAAATCAAGCAAAGACATCCTGGAAGCAAAGATAGAGACAGTTATTTTTTAAAAAGGAAACTACCCAGGCGTGATGGCTCACACCTGTAATCCCAGCACTCTGGGATGCCAAGGAGAGGACTGCCTGAGCCCAAGGGTTCGAGATCAGCCAGGGCAACCTGACAAGACCTCATCTCTACAATAAACAAAAAAATTAGCTGGGCATGGTGGCACGTGCCTGTGGTTCCAGCTACTCAGAAGGCTGAGGTAGAAGGATCACCTGAACACAGCAGGTCAAGGCTGCGGTGGCCACTGCACTCCAGCCTGGGTGATACAGTGAGACTACAACACAAAAAAACAAAATGAAATAAAATTTAAAAGAAACAAAGACTGGATTTTTTTTTTTAAGTTTACCTAATTATAATAATTCATAATGTTAAAAGACTATACATGCTACCTGTACAGAGTCATACTAATGCCAAATTGTCACAAATATGTCGCTAGTTCATAAGAGAAAAGGTGGAGGAGGGTATCAAAACATCTGGATTAAGGAAATCAGCAATAGAAACAAAATCAAATGCTACCAATGGCCTAGACATGTCTGGACTTGTTTTATGAAAGCTCACTCTCACTTGAGGAAATTCCAGCAATGTGTCTCCCCTAGTGTTATCTACAGGTTTCCATCAAAGCAGAGATACAAAAGGTCCACTATCAGAGGTGGCAAAATTCCCTGATTTCAAGAAAAAACTCTTGCCAAAAACAGATGTACTCAGTATCACATTTTATCGTCATAATTTTTAAAGAATAGCTAGATATTATACATTTATTTCTTGTCATCGTTAACTGTCAACACAATGTCCACTCCTCAGAAAAATCTATCTGTGACAATAACATCAAGCACTGGCACATTTGCAAACAAAAACTAGCATAAAATCTAAATATCAAATAAACAAAACCAAGCTTTCAGTGAGCGCATGAATGATGGAATAGAGAGACCCGGAACATATGCAACTGAGATCTGTTCAACTGCTGCATTCGTTTAAAAGAGACTAATCTGGAGGCTGATATAAATATTCTTCAGATCTTAAAAACCAATCTGATGCTTGCAGTGGCATAAATGAAGGCTTGATGGTGGCTAACGTCCTGGTTTAGAAAGGGGCTGGGAAGACAGTAAAGAAAAGCAAACCTTCCCAATGTACCCTGTTTAAAGAAAATTAATTATCACAGCATACTTAGTTTTCATGATTGGACTGGGGCCTACTCTTCACATACTGTATTAAAGACAATCTCTCATTTGGAGACATCTACAGAGGAAAGAGCAGAAAAAAGGAACAGGTTACCGGCACCTCAGCAAACTAGGGAAGTCTGTACTTGGGAAATCTGGAAATGAAGGAAAGACGGTGAGCATTACTCAGAGGTCATCAGACGCAGCAAGGAGGAATGAGAGGGAGAAAAAGACAAAATAATCAGGTTGAGGCAAGGCATGCCATGCGAGGAAGGCTCGAAAGAATGTAGGAAAGTGCAAGTCTCCGAGGCCTGGGTGAATTGGGGAATGTCTTCCAGTCTGGCTATGACGGTTCCTGATCCCGGGGAGCAGACACTCCAGCATGGCCCGCATATCCCATCCCTTCCGAAGATATGCGTGCGCGCAAGCACACACACGCGCACAGATACACACACACACACACACACAGAGAGAGAGAGAGAGAGAGAGAGAGAGAGAGAGAGAGAGACAGAGACAGAGACAGAGAGAGACAGAGAGACACACACCTCAAGCCCGCAAGGATGCCATCACGAAAGATGGAATCCCGACTCCCACGGGGCGGGGGCAAGTGCGAGGCCCGGGCACCGGCGCGCACAGACCCCGGTCCACGTGAAAACCCTCGAAACTAACACGCACACGAAGC